CAATTTTTTCGTTGTTGTGTTTGGGATCAGTTCAAAACATTTGAAAGAATTTTTGAATCTCCCACTCACCCCCCCCTCTGGTCGATATACTCTTGGTCCTAACACATAGCACTAAGGGAAAGGCCTTTTCTGCTCCCAGAGCAACTTTTGGTGTTGTAGATGGTTAGGGTCCTGCAAAGAGGTTGAGAAAGGCAACATCAAAGATGGTTGTTCACGCGACAATAAGCTTTACGGTAATGATATGCCTGAAAAGAATAGTTGAATTGTTGAGTATTTTGTGTGCCTCTGAACTGTGTGAACTATGTGGCTTGTGCGAAATGAACTGTTTGGTATTTGTTTGTGTGAACAGTGTGGTATGTGCTTGATGAATTATGTTGGTGTGTGCATGTGTACTATGAGATTAAAATAATTAGGTAATGGTTGGTTGAAGAACTACTTTATTTGTTATGTCATCTTGATGATCTGTCTTGATGATGTCGATAATGTGATATTGATGATTCTATCATGATGATGTCAATAATGTGATCTTGATAACTCTATCTTGATAGTGGTAGACAATGCAGGGTTATGATGAATCTATGGCCATCAGTTCGATGACGGTGAACCTAGGTTATGACGAAGCTAGGGTCCTCGAGTCGTCAACGACGATTACCCTAGGGTTATGATGAATCTAGGCTCATCGAGTCCTCGATGACAACGTACCTCGGGTACATCACTACTCATCATGTATATCACATAGATCACAACATAGCATCACAACTTCATCAAATCATAGCACAATATAGAGTGTATCACAATAGATAGCTTCATCAGTTCACAACAATAGACATAAGATCATGACATCACCAGTCTTCAAACTACAGAGGTACCCCCTCTGTAAATAAATATATGATCATTTATATAACTAAAGATCCATGTGTAAAGAAATATAAGATCGTTTAGTTCACTACTTTAGTGATCTAAACAATCTTATCTTTATTTAAAGAGGGAGTAGATAACAATACCATAGAAACATAGTCTTAGGAACATAGGTACATAGAAATATACTATGAACAAATTAGCTAGATAGCAACATACGTAAATATGTAGTTCTCACACATCTAAGTCTCAGCCATTCAACTCAATGACATAATGCTCATCAGAAATCCTCTTGATGTTCTTCACCTTGACCTTGTGAACTTCCCCGACGTTGAGCAGGTCAACAATTACATACTTCAACTTCTTCCTCTCCTTGTTGAGCTCATCCCTATCCTTCGTGAGATCATCCTTCTCCTTCTTCACCTTTAACATCTCCTTTTTCATCACATCCCTCTCCTCCTCCACCCATTCATCTCCTTATTTAGATTTCTGATCACACCACTTGAGCCAATTGGTGTTCTTCACACCATTGATACTAAGTTGCTTCTTCTTCATCTCCTTCTCCACGCCCTTACTGTCACCATACAATATATTATTGTAGTTTATTTGATGCACATGCTTCTCTTGTTCATCAAATATCTTGTCGAACATATGTGTTTCATTAATAGATGATTTGCTTGATAACACACTCTATTTTAACTATGAACACAATGACATTATGATATATTAACATAGGACATTTTGGAAACAAAAACTGAACATATGTTCAATATCTACGTGCAAAGTTTAATAGTTTGTTAGCAGTCTATGTGCAAAAACACGAACAAAGAACACTTCATGAAGCTATGGTAAGAACTACACCACCATCCCCACACACAATTCATAAGAGTGGATGTGAACAAATTAACAACACTATTAATAGCAAAAAAATTCTTACATTCTCTGCACATTCATGAAACCTCCAGCAATTGGGTCTGCCTTTGAAGCAGTGGCAGCTCTAAAATTTGATCAATGTGGGGGCAACATTACAAAGGGTAGCATTTTTTTGTCAAAACACATTACAAATAGTTAATAAAGTACTGAATATACATACGAATGCACTAGTGAAAAAAGTTATGCAAATTTGTTCGTGGGGCCCATTGCCCCCACCAGCCCACCCCTAGATGTGCAACTGCTTTGAAGGCAAGCAACCTCTTCACCCTGGAGTTGTGGTAGCACAAAATAGCGACATCCTCCTCAATGCCTTCAAAATTCGAGTCTCCAATGGTGTTAGGGGCCTTAAAATGACAAAAAGGCAAGTCAAATCGAAGGGATTGGGTTCAAAACAAAGCTCCAGATCGAAAAGCACCAAAATCGTAGCCCTTAGGCCCAACCCCAACCCTGACAAAGCGAGTAGAATGCAAGGATGGCCTTCCGTTTGAGCCAAAGTCGTCCATGTTCTCACCATCATTCGAAGAAACGATGATGCCAATGACGCGATGATTCAGCGCTGGAATTGGTCCCACATCAACCAAACGGGTGCGTCCGACCGAGCCATTAACAACCGTCTTGCTGCACCATCACCTGTTTGCCATGTCAGCCCGCTAAGTGGGCCCTCAATTGTCGTAATCGGGTCAAAACACGCTCATCGCTTGGTCATTGGTCTTTTATGTAATTTATAAAAAGTGGTGTCGAATTGCTAACGATATCGCAAATTGCGATGAGCATCTCGAGCCGTTGGCCCCCAGGCGGCTCGAAAAATCGGTGGCTGGGGGCGAACCGGCGCTAAAAATCGGCCTCGGGGGATCTGGTTACCAGCCGACGCCCCCAGGGTCGGCCCCAGGCGGTTGTTTTTAAATTTTTTAAACAGTTATACTTGTCTAAAATTCGGCGAACGGGACAAATATTCGGCGAAACATTACATTATCTCAGCGAATTGAAATAGTTTTTTTACATAGATAAAGTACTTAAAATAACAAAACAAGGCCGCGACTATAGGCTGAAAACGCGCTGAGAGGGGCGAGGTCGCCGTCGCCGCTGTTGTCGTCGTCCTTCTTCTCCTCCTTGACGCAGACGCCACTGCTGGACCCCTGGCCGGGTTCGCCCTAGCGGACCGGCGTAGGCGGAGGCAGCGTCGCCGCTATCATTGTCGAGGACGACGACGCCTCCCTCGTCGTGGCCACGGCGCCGAGCGAAGAACTGCTCCAGGGCACGGCGCTGGCGCTCCAGTTCCGCCCGCGCCCAGTCTTCACGCGCCCACTTCAATGCCGCCGCATCGTCGAGCCCTGGCTCCGCCTTCATGTCGGCGAGCCCTGGCTCCGTCTTCACGACGGCGAGGCTCGGCTCCGTCTCCGGCTTGACGAAGCGGGGAAGAGCCGCAGAGGAGGAGGCGCGCCCGCCCTCGTTGCGGGTGCGCCGGCCGAGCGGCGTCTCGGCGGTCTCCGCGGGCTCGGCCTTGACGCCGAGCAACATGGACGAGCCGGATGAGCGGGAGGAGGAAGAGGAGGAGCCGGTCCGGCGGGGCATCCATTAGTCGCCGCTCCGGCGAGGAACCGGGGCAGGAGGGTACGTCAATGGAGAGTCATTGCCGCCCTCGAGGTGCTGGAGGACGGCGAGGAGAGTGCAGCCGGGGGCACCCCACCACAGGCGGCGGCTCTCGCTGTTCTTCGACCGCCGCACCACCGGTGCCCCATTGGTGGAGGCCAGCCGCTGCGCCTGTCGATGCTGGAAGTACGCCGCCGAGGCCTCGTGATTGCCGACAGCGTAGTGCGGGAGGGCCCGCTGCTCCTCTGTCAGCGACACCCGCACGCGGGCAATCTCATCGGCGAAGTAGTCGGGGTGCACGTCGACGTCGGGCAGCGGGGGGATGGGAACGCCACCGGCACTGAGCCTCCACCGCCCCGGCGCGCGCATGTCCGGTGATGCCGGCGCATTGGCCTCGAACAGGAGGTACGCCTCCCACTCGTGCAGCGAGCGGCGGCTGAAGCCATTGGCCGCCGCCCCATCACCGGGGAACCTCTCGCCCATCGGCGCGGCTTGAAAAGATGAGAGGGGAGGAACGGGGAGAGAGCTCGACGGCGTCGGCGCACGGGGAGAGAGTTCGACGGCGGGAGATTGGCGACTGTGGGTGCGGTGCGGCCTCAGGCGAGGGGGACGCGCTGCTTATATAGCAGCCGAGGGTGGGCGTCGTGTGTACACGTGGCGGGAGGTGGGTCTTCGCCGCGCCCGCGCCGCATGTGAGGAATCAATGGAAGGCTGACCGACGGGCAGCCTTGGCATTGATTCCCCGCGGGAAACCGAGGCTGTGAGGACGACGAGGCGCGTGGGTCGCTGACTCGGCGAGCCCGCCTTTCTTTCGCGCCAAATTCGATTGCTCCCGCGCCCCCGTGCGCCTCCAGCGCGCCGGGTTCGGCCTGGATCCGCCAACGCCAATTTCAATCCAACCTGACGGAAAACAGGCTTCTGAGGTGCGACTGGCCCGATTTTTAGACGTCGGCGCTAAAAAAAGGCCTGGTATCTGTTGGGGACGCGACTGGAGATGCTTTCATGTGTGTTTTACTCTCGTGCTGTGAAAGATGCGGGAATTCGAGACATTTGCCTTCCAGTTGACAGACATACGTACATGAGCATTTTTTGCACTTGGTGGCCAGGACTAGTTGCGGTACAGACTTTATCGCTGTAGAAGTATTTAGCTAACACACAGATCAGCCTTGATCAGTGCACTACGCGTGGCGTACTAGCAAGCCTTGCATAATTGAGCTCATGATCTGTGTGTGAAGAGGAAGCACTCGGCCAAACCTGCATGCACGGCCGGTGTCTGGCGTGCGAGGAAAAGACAATACAATCGGCGGGGCGTCGCCCTCGGTCCACACAGAATCATCCAGCTGCCTCCCACCGAGTCAACCCAATACCCCAAAGCCACACGAACCGGAAGCGGAAACAAAGGCGGCAACACAAAAGCATGGGCCGTATGGCCATTGGCCACGAAGGGTGCACGAAACCCCGACGTGCCATTCCATTTCCACGCGGAGAACGATCGCACCTATAAATACCCGACCCCGTCGCCGCTCACTAAACCACACCCAAACACGTAGTGCACCACTTCCGCTAAAAGATCATCAGCATTCAGCAGAGCTACACTAGCTCCAAGCCACCGAGAGAAAATGGCCGGCTTCTCGTACACGAGCCACGTTGCAGTTGCACTGGTTTCGGTGCTGCTGCTGAGCCTCGCGCACGGCTCACTGGGGCTGGGGGCCAGGAGGCTCATGGAGCTGTACAAGCCGGACCCCAGCGAGCTCCTCACGTACCACAACGGCGCCGTGCTGCAGGGCGCCATCCCGGTCTCCGTGCTCTGGTACGGCCGCTTCACGCCCGCGCAGAAGGCCGTCGTCTCCGACTTCCTCCTCTCGCTCACCACCGCCTCGCCGGCGCCGACCCCGTCCGTCTCTCAGTGGTGGAACACCATCCACCAGCTCTACCTCTCCAAGGCCAAGGGCGCCAACGCCAAGCGCGCGACGCAGGTGGCGCTCGCCGGGCAGGTCTCCGACGAGCGGTGCTCGCTCGGGAAGAGCCTCAAGCTGCCCCAGCTCGCGGCGCTGGCGGCGAGCGCCAAGCCCCGGAAGGGCGGGATCGCGCTGGTGCTCACCGCGGAGGACGTGGCCGTGGAGGGCTTCTGCCGGAGCCGGTGCGGCCTGCACGGCTCCGACGCCGCGGCCCGCACCGCGTACGTGTGGGTCGGCAACTCCGCCTCGCAGTGCCCCGGGCAGTGCGCGTGGCCGTTCCACAAGCCGGTGTACGGGCCCCAGGCGCCGGCGCTGGTGCCGCCCAGCGGCGACGTCGGGATGGACGGCATGGTGATGAACGTCGCCAGCATGGTCGCGGGCGCGGTCACCAACCCGTTCGGGGACGGGTTCTACCAGGGCCCCAGGGAGGCGCCGCTGGAAGCCGCGACGGCGTGCCCGGGGGTCTACGGCAGCGGCGCGTACCCCGGCTACGCCGGGAACCTGGCGGTGGACGCCACGACCGGGGCGAGCTACAATGCCAACGGGGCCAACGGGAGGAAGTACCTGCTTCCCGCGCTGTTCGACCCTGACACGTCCACCTGTTCGACCTTGGTGTAATTTACTATGGTGCAATTTGTAAGGATACGTAGTAGCAGTACTGTGTATAGGATGATCTGCTTTGTTTGAAATGCTCTGTTTCTTGCGTGTGATCTTCCCAGAGGCGTTGCTACCACTGTTGCCGCACCGCGTACAGGCCTATCGGTTCAGAAATCGCAACACCGCCTGTTCAGAAACAAGAAAAAGAGGAATTGCAGCACTGGCTGGGCACAAACTACAACTGTGACATGTACTGAGGATGTGAGTATTCAAGCAATAATGCACGCATATGACAACTTATCATCATGGATCCAAAACGGTGATATCCCCCAAAGAACTTTCATCCTAAACCTAAGCAAAATCCTGGTAATCTTGATTAATTTAGTTAGTCATATTTCTCCTGGAAACGGAGGGAAAATATTTGACTCGTATATACATTAATAAAGTAGAAGATGGAAAAAGCGATGAAAATCAATACAAACATGACCACTTGCCAACTACCCCCTCCGTTCTGGAATATAAGATCAGTTTTTGTACAAGTCAAATTTACACTATATGTTTGGCCAACATCATAGAAAAATATATAAACATCTACAATACACATAAACGAAATATGAAATACTTTTTGTGATGGATCTAATCATACTTGGCACCGTAGATATTTTTTTATAAACAAGGTCAAACATGCACATGCTCAACTGTAAAAAAAATATACACCTTACATTTTGGAATGGGGGAGTACTTCCAAAGCATGAACACTCACCACCGCACAAGCAGATCTTCGTAAGATCTCAACGTACTACACCCGTAAAGCCCGGACACATGGACCCCGAGTTTGCAAAGGTACCCCAAAAAAAACACAACGATCATGACATCAAAAAACACAATATCGACGGTGCATCCATCGAGCAGCCGCGGACGGCTATCCATAGCGCCACTGTTCTTATCTTTGCTTACGGATGGTTTCTCTTTCATGATGTCGGGTCGAAGACAAACACCCACATTCTTGCATTTCCCTTTGATACCTTCTCCTCTAGGAGGCAACAAATCACCTTGTCACAACCAGGACAAGCGGCATGTGAGCTGACCATAACATTATATGTATTTTTCTGTGAAGAGATCCCTGAAAACAAATTTGTCTCGTACATTAACTGAGTAGAGAAATTTGACAGTTTATTGACGAAAAAAGTAGTGCAGACTGAGACAAATATAACCACATGCAAACTACTTCCAAAGTATGAACACTCACCACTCCATAAACAGACCTCCATAAGCTCCTAACATGCTACACCCGATAACCTCCAACGAATGGATTCCCAGCTCGCAAAGGTACCCCCAAAGAGAATACAACAACTATGACACCAAGCAACACCATCCTCGCACGCCTATCCTATGAGGTCACCCTTCTAGTCTTTGCTTCCGGATGACATCTACTTCAAATGTCAGGTCGAGGGCAAGTGCCCATCTTCTTGCATTTATCCCTAGTTGCCTTGTCCTTTAGAGCATCTCCAACGGCCGCACAAAAATTTCGCGCCCAATAAAAGTCATAGCGCGCCACTTTAGCATTTTTAATGTGTCGGAACCGACTTTACTTTAGCGGGCGCCCAAAAACGTACGTCCAAAAAGCAGATAGTGCAAATTGTGAAGCGCGCACAATCCAGCGCCCAAAAAATGCTGCGCGCAATAGCGTTTTTCAGTGCGCGCCCAAAAACTTTTAGCGCTACAGCTTCTCTGGAGCTGTCCGGCACCCAGAAAACAAATTTTTAGTGCGCGAAACTCTTTTTGGGCGCCTGTTGGAGATGCTCCAGCAACCACTTGTCTTGCCAGAACCAGGACAAACAGCCTCTGAGCTAGCGATGAAGTTGCAAAAAGAAAAAGAAAAAACGCGGAGAGAGCCCTGGAAACAGGTTACAATGCATGAGACGCAACTACTTTGCTCTTCAAACACGGATTTGTTCTGTTGTGAAGCGACCTTCATTTGTGCTACTAAATTTGTCCCAAAACGGTAACTACCTTTTTCGAATGATTGTTGCCTGTCTGATGTGGTGATGCTTGACAATGAATATGCCCGTTACACCCCCCCTAAAACCCATATGAGTATTTCAAATCCAGGGCCTCTTTGATGTGTAGGTTTTTTTCTTAAAACACGAGAAAAACATAGAATTGAAGTGTCATGTCAGTTGAATCCTATAGAATTAGTAAACCAGAGGAACTTTAGAGCGGTGGATGTTTGATGCCACAGGAAAACAAATGAGTAATACAACGACGTTTGAGTGGATAACATTTTCCCTCCAAAATTGAGTGCAAAGCAAAGCTTAGGTGTTTTTCATAACGATTCCAACCCTACGAATCAGACAACACAATTAAATATATTTTTTCGGAAGGGTATAAATCTTCTAAATTTCCTCTGAAATTCCTTTGAATCAAAAGAGCTCTGAAGTTCCACTATGCCTTTTTTCTTCTCCACTGCAGATTGCTGAACCCTTATCAGCACAGGCCATCACAAGTGGGTAGTGCCTCACGAGAAGTTTCCTCGCTCAGTTATACGGATGAGATCGAACATTTTGACTTCCCAAAACCGGGGCCATCCGGCCATGCAAAGATGATACTAGACCCACACCAATCTTCAAATGCTCCATACTGCCATCCGGTGAACCAGTGAAGGTTGCATCCGAGGGAGGGAGGAAGGGTGGCAGTGATCCGCTTCTCTGCACCACGAACGTCCAGCCTGACCGTGATACAATACAACCAGCACACGAGCTGCTACGTCGAAGCCCCGTCCGTCGATCTGAAGCAAAGATTAGTGTATTATTTCAGACTGTCGCAGCACGAAAGACACAGCCTGTACACCCGATCGGCAACGTGATCCAGCCACTGTAAACCGGATCGCTTGTATCCCCTGCCCGCACGCGCAGCCGTTTTGTCTCCTGATCAAACAGCCCGGGAAGGCAAAACTAGCTCTTGTTTGTCGCCCATCTCCGGCTGTTTGGAGCCAAGCCATTGACCTACGGATTATTGTTTACGCTCTAGCCTCAACCCAACAGCTCAGCGAGGCTAGAGTTTTCAAGACGCGGCAACCTTTGCTACGAGCGGCGGACAGCTGTACCTTGAGATCTGCATGACGCTGACCCGAGGGAAGCTCCCCGGAACGGACGTAGCTGCGCTCTGCCATGCCCATGGCCAAGCCTCTATAAATAAGCGGTTCGTCATTTCACTTTTCTCACATCTCAGCATCGATCACACATTCATCGAGTTCTTTCCCGCCCTCTCGTCAGTCTCTGTAGCCAGCTTGAGCTAGCCACACTCTGTTCTTCGACCACAACCACCTGTCCTCTGTAATGGCCGTCGTTTGTGCGAAGGCAGTGCTGCTTGCAGCTGTGATGCTTGCGAGCGTGGCACAGCTTTGCATGGGCGCGAGGCGGCGCATGGAGCTGTACCGGCCGGACCCGGCTGACATGCTCTCCTACCACAATGGCGCCGTGCTCCACGGCGACATTGCCGTGTCCGTCCTCTGGTACGGCAACTTCAAGCCGGCGCAGAAGGCGGTGATCGTCGACTTCCTCCTCTCGCTCACCGCCGAGACCCAGGCCGCCTCGCCGTCCGTCGCGCAGTGGTGGAGCACCATCGACCAGCAGTACCTGTCCCCCGCGAGCGCGAAGTCCAACGGCGCGGGCGCGAAGACCCGTGTCCTTCTCGCGGACCAGCTCTCCGACGGCGAGTGCTCCACGGGCAAGTCCCTCACCCTCGAGCAGATCACCGCCCTGGCCGCGACGGCTAGCCCCAAGAAAGGCGGCGTCGCGGTGGTGTTCACGGCGCAGGACGTGGCGGTGGAGGGCTTCGGCATGGGCCGGTGCAGCCTGCACGGCTCCGACGCCAGCTCCGGCACGACCCACATCTGGGTCGGCAACCCGGAGACGCAGTGTCCCGGCGCGTGCGCGTGGCCCTTCCACCAGCCCGCCTATGGCCCCCAGGACGCGCCCCTCGTGGCGCCCAATGGCGACGTCGGGGCGGACGCCATGGTCATGAACTTCGCGAGCATGCTCGCCGGCGCGGCGACCAACCCGTTCGGCGACGGGTACTACCAGGGCAGCAGCGACGCCCCGCTGGAGGCCGCCACCGCCTGCCCAGGAGTCTTCGGCAACGGCGCGTACCCTGGCTACGCCGGCGACCTCAAAGTGGACCAGGCCACCGGGGCGAGCTACAATTGCAATGGCGCGCATGGCAGGAAGTACTTGCTTCCTGCGCTCTACGACCCTTCCAAGTCCGCTTGTGGCACTTTGGTCTAGTCACTGTAGTGCATTCCAGCATTATTTTTGTTGGTCTTCTGTTCAGAAGTTAGTGTATATATGTCAGAACTGAAGCTATGTAATTCTTTCATCGATGAGATCCTCATGTGTCGGCAATAATGTTGATCAACGAAATGAAATCGGGTTATTCTCAATGGTGCAATGTCCATTTATTTCTGAATCTATTTTGAATTTTATTGCAAGGATGTTTCTAAGTTTTGTGGAAGAGCTTTTGTGACATGAGGCTCATTTGCTATTTTCCGATCATTAATGCATGACTTCACTTTCACTTATAATATGTCACCATAATTAGTATACGAGAAATCTAACCACCAGTCGACTGGTGGTTAGCGATAGGCACGTACCATCGCTCTCGTCTCTTTTTTTCCTTCGATCGGTATTTACGCTCCCGCCCGCTTCCGATCTAGAATTCTCGCACCTCTTATTTTTAATTTCGGTAAAAAAATAGGAG